TTTACGAGCACTTAGCTTTATGTTAATTTCTGTCCTGAATGCCTTGTCTCACTGTTCGCTCGGATAACAGAGTTGCACAAATAGCAAGTGGCGTAATTTAAACTAACTTGTAATCTTAAATGGGAACTCAATGGAATTCGTTTCACGATCCTGCCGTCTTGTAGTAGGAAGCCGCTCGAACTGCCGAAAAGTTTGGCAGAGCTCTCTAAGTTTTAGAAAGTTAGCTAGCTTTCGTCGAGCTGAAAGTGAGTTGTAAATATGAATAAGTTGTTGTAGTCACATCCTAAATTTAGCTTACTAAGGTACTGTTGTTGACAGTCAGGGAGTAATTGTATAATTTAATTTATTATTAATTACACAAGAAGTTCCTACTTTAACGCTTGAGAAATTATAAGGTGCTCTTGCATATTTTTTGGCTATGAATTGATGTTCTCTTGATTTATTATTGTTTTCCTGATGAATCGTTTAAAAATAATTTAAAATTGAATTCATCATTTTCATCGCACATTAGCAGTAACTATTAATACAAACCGAAGAATTTGGTTGTCAAGTTGTTAGACTTCCTCCTCAAGTATTTGTCAAGAATGACAAAACTTATCCGTATTGTAGCAGTCTCATCATCGAAAGCTTTGCCTAGGGTACACCACAGGGTGTAGAACAATATAATACCTGCAGAACGGAAAAGGACACGCAAAAAATAACCAAGTCTTACATAGGATTCGAACCTGAACTCTAAACAAAAGAAGGTATTAGCAACTTAACTTCAAAGATGACAATCTTCCCTTTTATTCTTTACATATTCCTATTCCACAAGCAAAAATACAAATCCAGTCTCGTCATTTACATTATAAAGAAGATATATCACTCCTACAAGAAACGGTTGCAAAATTGATCTTCAAATGATGCTACATAGATGAATTTTATTACCTGATTTATACTTTGCTTCTTGTAATCATTCCCTACATCGTATACTACAGAGACAATGTAGAATGACATGGACTTTCCAAATACATTGCAGGTTAAGGATTTAAACAAAGGCACGCGAGGTAGAAATTCAGTAACTCAAAAATTTCCATGAACTGAATGTTTTCCAGAGAAGAAATAGTTTGAAAATAAGTATCACTATTTTTTTAAGTCGAATTTTCGTTATTTTACAAAACTTCAAAATTTGTGAATCAAGCTTATTTTGAATGACACTCTTATTACCTTCTATGCAGTAATGCTTCCGTATTTGCTGATTCAATAACTATAATTTCGAAAAACACAAAATAAAATTTCGATAACAAAAGGAATATGTGCTTTAAAAATAACCTAACTTCCGTCAAGGAAGAACAGTCTGCAAGACGGTGAAATACTGCAGCTCACAGCGCCGTCTTTTACGGCACTCATAAACAGGTATGCACGAATAAGGATCCATATTTCAAAGTTAATGCAGCGTTTGAAAGAAATATAATATTTTTATTGTTTTTCTAGTTTTACACTATTCTATATAGTATAATAACCTGTTGTCTCGCTAAGTATGAGACTAAAACATAAAAACCTTTCGCATCCACGCTAGGTACAGAGAGAGAAAGTATACGGTAAATGAACTTGCCAGTTTACAGTAAATTTTATATTATGTTGGTGGTATCATTCAGGACATCATTTGTCAATTTTTATTACTTTATGTACATTATGTGAACCTAGCATTATTGTAATATTGGCTACTATCCGAGGTATATCTTAAAATGCATTATCCGAGAAAAAGGCGACTAATGTTTTGTAGTTCATCATTTGATCCATATGATTTTATGCCATTATTAATTTTTCAGAACCGTTCCCTCTGTTTATCTTATTATAATATCACTGCCGAAATTTTAGTGATTAATTTCTTAATTTAAAACAGATTTCAACATTTATGGATCGAAATAATTTTCATCATTAACGTATGCATATCCCTACATTTGCTAAATGTGTTTATAAAATTTCAATTAACTAATTTTGTTTATTACTTTTCTTCTATTCTCTTTCTTCAGCATGATCTATGAACACCGGTAGTTTCACCAAGATTTGATTCCTGTCACACGTATAGCTGCATGAAAATTTCATGGTTTTCCTCATGTGTAACATGAATACGAGCCACTTTCCAATAAAATGACGCAGCGAAGTCATCCCTTAATATGCCATGATATAATAAAGAAATTTTTATTATGCGCAACTGTTTCTAAAGAGATGCAGACAAGGCCTTTAGTACTTAAGTGTTAAGTGAAAAAGTTGAAAAGCAGAAGCTGGTAAATATATCCATCAGTTATCACAGCCGCTTTTGCGTATTCCAGTTACATTTCAATTGCTTATCCCCAGATACAGTTGTGTAACTTGCTGCACATTCCAGCTGGATAGCAATCCTGAAGTTGCCTTTGGACTAAAGCTTTGGTTAATTGCATTTAGTTTTCTGTTTGTAGAGTTTTGGTGAGATAATTCGAAGGCAAACTGATTGATTTACTAGCTTTCTGAAAAGCAACAAGTATATTGCAAAAATGTTTTATTTTGTTCGGACCATTCAAAACGCAAGAGTACCATAGATTTTAACTTACATTTATGTAACGTGTCAAAAAATTATAACTTAATAACAGTGATTTGTTTTATTTCGTTCGGACCATTCAAAACGCAAGAGTACCATAGATTTTAACTTACATTTATGTAAAGTTTCAAAAAATTATAACTTAATAACAGTGATTTGTTTTATTTTAAAGCTTGAACTTGGTATTTTTTACTAGTACAAACACTACAGGTTAAAAGTAAAAACTCGCTAGTCATCTGTAGTTTTTATAACTACGTAAATAACTATGCACCGAGAATGAAAGTTGAAATAGCCACTATGTTCCGGTTAGGTCTCTGTACATCTCTATACACGTCAAGCAACATTCTTACTTATTACTTAACTCAAATTTTTGATTATTCGACTCCCTTCCTCGTTACTTCAGTATCATCTTATCGACGTTCAACTGCATTTCCTGGATTCGACAACGAACGCACTTCCGGAGCAAATGTTTAAAATTTTGAAGTGAGAGGGCATTTCTTCCTAAATCTTTGGTTCTAATTTTTTATATTTATTATTTAATATTTCTATATTATATAAGTCTGTTAGCTATAAAATTTTAAAATTTTGGATTTAAATTTTGGATTATGTTTTAGGTCACAAAAGATTCAAGTGCAATAACTTTTTGTTATCAAATTGTAAAATTAGATTCAAATTGTGGTATTCAAAGAGCTACACTAAATCCAAATGAGGTAAATCTTATATTAGCATCAAAGAAACGAATGAATAAAAAATAATTTTTGGTAAATTAGTATAAAATTAAAAAGTAGACTAGCTGTTCTGTAACAATGCGTGTCTTACTATACATGTGACGAGAACAGAAATGAGTTTCTTTCAAACATTCACTGTTGCTTTTCCGATACTAATTAATTCTGATCTCTTCTAATATCTTACTTTCTCTATTTTGTACATTTAAATTAATATTTTAGGATGAATAAATAAACTAATATAAAATTATAGCAGCATTACAATAAATTAGCGGAACTAACCCATGCAGTCCATATTATATACTGCTCAATCCATATTTATATCTCAAAGATAAGAGACTTGAGGCAAAAATAATTTTAAAACGTTTAGCTAATGTAAATGTATTTGACGAGCGTGTCAAGGGTAGGAGCAAAATTGCTAAAACAATTATAACTTATGGCAATTTCGAAAATTACTTGGAAAAAAGAAAAATGGTTTTCAAAGTTCATTTGGTGTGTTTAGGTTACTAGCTAGCTTGCAGTTGCTGTACATTTCACAGGAGTTTAGATTTAAGAAACCACATACATCAGTAGTTATAGCTAGCTTAGACGTAGATAAGTACAGATCTATTATTTGATTGCTAAAACTATGGCGGCAAGTTGGAATTTAAATATGATGTGTTACTGAATATTGTAAAGGGGAATGATGAGTGATATATTAAACTTAAAACTATTTTTTATATCAAATAAGAGTCACTTGTCATTATGAGACAATGACAGGTGACCCGTATATTAATAATCAAGGCAGCGTTGTATGCAGCAACACGTCACAGCTTCAGACTGAGCGATTATACACCAAAATGTGCATGAACCATGAAATTGGAGAGATGTGATTTTGATTCTGCATTATTGGAAAAAGGAGAAAGCAACTGTTTAAAACAAGAAATACGAAGAAAAGAAAACTTCTTGAAAGGGCTTGCTGTAGCACTGATACAGCAATATCGGTAAATGTCAAGCATCCCTTGTCCCTTAGCCAATCAACGCTGTCCTGACTGACAGCGCAGAAGAAGAGGAAGCAGCAAGTAGTAGTGAGGTTGGAGTTTTAACTTTTGTATTTCGAAACGGTAAGCAATTTGAAGCATTAATGTGGTTTTGATTGGCACTTTTCTTCCAAATGTAGATATGAGTCCGCAAAGGCATTATCTCACTTCTTTTTGCAATAATATTGTCATCACACGATGCAATCAAACATGTGGATATGTTTTTGATATACACGTTATACTGCATGTACACTCCGTACTTTGGAAAATTTCGAATAAACATGCACGGGCTTTTATTTTTGAAATTTACGACACCTGGCTTTAATTGTTAGTTACAAGGTTCCCCATGCTGACAAATGCGCTCGTACAGAATAAGGCTATTTTCAATATTGTTGAACTATATAATTGATACCTAGTTCTATTACTAATAAGTGGACAAAAGAACTGAACTTTACTAGCCTTTTGGTCTGGGATTCAATTCTAGTCAGTCAAATGGCTAATTTTATGGGGTGTGGAGGTTTTCGGAGTTTTCCTCGTGTTGAAGGTTAATATGAGACAATTTCTGATTTCTGTTAAGAGTTCTCTATGGAAGCATTCTTTCTAAAACAGGTATTCCTCAACTACTATAATAAAGGCAAATTACCTATCTAATTGCGTAACTATACCTTAAGTAATTTTGATAAGGAAATTAAATACCTTCTCGGTCTCCCTCTCCGCTGCATTGTGACCGAAAGTCCAGATCCAGACCTTCGAAGAGGTCTACCAAGGGAGTAATAACGATCGTATGCATCAGATCCCAGAGTCGAAATTCTCTGCTCACTTTCGGTCCTTAGAAGCCTAGTCGAACGCGTTCTAAGCGTGGGATCATCCAGGTATCGATATCTTTCTGGCAAACTGCGTTCACTCCTGGGGTGGACTTGCTGCTGTTGGGGAGGGAAGAAAAGTCTACGTGGATCCGTGGGCTCTGCATGGAATGTGTGAACCTAGGAAGAAAAAAATGGAGGGTGTATTTTGGTGTAACAAAATGTTGCAAGACATTTTCTTTCATCTAAAGTTTCGTATTGTGAATAAAACAAATTATTTCAAATTCGGTTTGTAGTTGTTGAAATAAAGATCTCTAATTAGTTTTTTTATTTCACTAAAGCTAATGGAGCAGAACTTTTTGTTTTCGGGCTTGTACAAATGTACCACAAAAATTATATTTTCATAAGCCCACACGCTTTTCTTAGTTTAATGCTAAATACATAGTAAATAATTTCAAAATGTTGACACAAAACATTGTTTAGGCACGCATCTCTGTTCAACAGCTATCTTCATAACATCACGTCTTCAACCACTAATATTCTTAAACCCTCTTCTGTAAAAAAATTTCACAAACTATGCAAAATGTTAATTGGAACGATTTTTAATGCATATAATCCTTTTCCGTCATTTATACCTAGTTAAATGCATATTTTTATATAACGGACTCCTTTATGTATTTACATTAACGTCTACCTGAACATTTTGCTTCTCGACCGAGTATTTCTCAATGCACCTACGTTGATTTACCATATACATACATACATACAAGAAAACATTAGCACATAAACATAAATAAAGACGTGAAAAGACAGTAATGTTTTACGATTGCTGTTTATACATCCTCTATTTTGTATTTCAAAACCATTTCAATTAGAAAACAGAGAAATATAAAAATGAGAAGGGTATCTGATTTGCTCTCGTTGCTTCTAAATCATATTTTGTTTTTTTACGAAGGGGATTCGAAATTCAAGCAAACATAGTGCATTTCTGTTAATTCTGGTTTAGCAAAGTTGAAAGTATCCTTAGTTCTTATTTTAATCTACCACATTTTCGGAAGTCTCATAACATGCAGACAGGCCATTTTAACTTCGATACAGTAGGGAAACAAATTTAACGTATGTAAAATCTAGATAAAACAGAAATTTGGAGAGGTCATCCATTTATGGATATTAAAAACAGGGCAAATATTTGTTGTTTAATAAATGCTTCAAATTTTTACTGTGATTTGTTTCCAGATCTCAAGTACTGAAATATGCGTGACATTTTCGCATGCGTATTCCATTTTGTCTATTAATGTTTTAAAGTTCCTTAAGTAATGAATTAAAATAATGTAATTCTCTTTTTAGTTTAAACTATATATCGTAAATGATAGAATTTTAACTCACAGAAACCTATTCTTCGGGTTTCGAAATAAAATTTGACAATCTACAAAAAAATCTAGAAATAAAGATGTCGATCAAGTGGTGCCATGGTTTTCTCTCTTAACCATATAATATATTTTTATTTTGAAATTAACATCAATACAACTCTGAATCTACTGTTTATCGAAAATTCTGATGATATATAAAGACGTTTAAGCCTCCCAACCGGTATAGTGTTCAGCGTCGTTGACTGCCGTACCGAAGGGTCCGAGTCCGAGTTCCCGGAGAAGGCATGGGTGTTTGTAAATTTATAGTATCCGTGCAACATGGGGGCACTCTAAATATGCAGCGAGCCGAAAGTCTTCTCGAGAGGTTGATGGTAGAGAAAGAGGTATGGGAGACCCTCGGACCCGTCCTCCCGAGGTGCTTTCCATCAAAATTGAAGGTGGAACTGAGCTAATTCGCATTGTCATCTGTAAGGTGCTCAAAGCTGTTGCCAACGGCAGGCGTAATCTTGCGCTCCTTGCCAGGGGGAATTTCGCGAGATTAGGCTGATTGTACAAGTCAACAACAAGAAGAAGAGAGGTTTAAAAACGTTGTGATTTAGGTTTTTCAAGGGGAGAAGATACAATGCTGTGGAGGATTCCCCTTTGTAGCCTTATGGCTGATATAAATCGGCTAGGGGGGGGGTCGGAGCTGCGCCCACAACAACAACAACAACAATGCTGTGGAGGATCTTTAGAAAAGCAAAAACACCTCAAATAAAATCTCAAAATTCTTCTCAAACCAGAGGTAAAATAATACGAATTTTAATACAACAAATACAAATCTGTTACCCAAGAATAGAAAAAGTAACTTGCCATACTTCAAACATGCGTTTTCATTTTGTAAATCATATGTCACCGTTAATGTTTTCCATTTTTCTAAACATACAACTGGAAGTCAGGAATTAATTAAATTCTAAGGTAGCAAATTCGACTGAGCCTTTCTCATCTGTCTAGCCTGTTCTTTCTACTTTTTCTGTTCACCAGTCATTTATTCGTTCAACTATGCACTCAATCTTATTTATACGACCGCCTTATTGAACGAATATGACTTCTGAGGAAGAAAAAAAAATCTGACAAAAAACAGCGAGACAGCAGGATCTAATAAATAGAAAGGTATTAGATAGAAAAAGGAGGAGAGATGATGGATTCATATTTCATTTCTTGTATATATAGACTTTTGCACAATTACATACATTGGCAACATGCCAAGTAATTCAGTAGTAACATAATAACCATGAATAAAATACTAAGTATTAAATTACTTAAGAGAACCTTGTTCTTAGGAAAGTGCACTATTTAAATATATCCTTACAGTTTATACTTAATGAGCTGCGTACTTTCGAAGTAAGCAGATGTTTGCTATCTATCTTTCTTAAAAGTTGTATTACAGAGATAATTATTATAAGGTCTCTCATTCTGTTATTGTTCAATGTATAGGAGTTTGCAATAATGATTTGCCACCAAGACGGACTTTATAAGAACATAATAGAATTTTTAGTATTTTTAGTATATTTAATTATTAGTATACTTAGTACATTATTTTAACTTCAGCCTTAATCGTAAAATAGAAATAACCTTTAGGTAAAATTATTTTCATAAAAGAATAACTTAAGAATACTAACAAATAGTTCTTTTATTATTTATGTATTCATATCCGATTTTAAGTAACTATGCATTTAGTTTGGTACATAAAAAATTAACATTATCTGAAACTGCAAATATCAGACCAGAAGATGCCAGAAGCATTGCTCACGATAGCTTCAAAAATTTGAAACATCCGAAATCAAATAATTTACCTTTAAAGAAGTAAGGGTTTACTGAATCAAAGAACATTTTAAAATAACTCCATCCAACACTTCATGACAAATTTAAACTCTCCTTATTCAGCTCATACAAACCAAATAGTTGATATAAAACACTCTAATTTAAAAAATATTATACCTTATCTCGTAAAATGCAACAAAACCATAAATTAATGAGAGAAAGAGATCTTAGATATTTGTACTCCTTCTTTTACTTATTTTACCGTCATTAAACGTATTATAAAATGTTTTAAAATGAAACATCGGTATCGCAGTCCTCCATCATAAGTTTATTCAAACCTCATTTACTGCTAAAATTAAAATTCGATACAAAAGTTTAGTTTTAGTTGTATCTTTGAAGTATGATTCCCAGCTTTTATAAACAGACGGACTTTTTTCAACATATCTCTCATAATTCTTCGGTATAGGGAAGAAACATCATCAAAAAAAGATTTTACGAATATTCTCTCAAGCTTCAATACTTTAAGTTAACTTCAGCCACATGCACTAAATTTTTATCCAGTTTTCAACAGTATAATTAAATAAATAAAACTTTTCTATAAATAGTCTAAAACTTTCAATCGTAGTTCAAGCTAGTATTATCAAGAAGTACAAGATAATACGTGCATTCGACTTTTATTCAACTAAACTTACGTTGTGAGTTCCTACTTGTTCCGCTAAAGACTGCAAAGTAGTTGGGAAGCTAGGTTGAGGTTTGGGCTGTCTGGTCAATACAGTTTGAGGTCCCCGTTGTTCTCCCCACATCATTCTGGATTCCTCTTGCGATTTTGGTGGCCCCATATGACCCATCTGGGCTACGTTGTAATAGTAAGGAGCAACCTGTAATAACATTAAAACATTTTTCGATATTTTCACGGTAACTATGCTGTCTATTTTAATCAGTGCACTAACATTTTGCCATGCAAAACTTCAGACTTAAAAAAAAGAAATACTATAAAATTTTACTTGCATCAAATCAGAAGTAATAAACATTTTTAAAAAAGGAAAAGTTTCATTTGTAAATTTTATGTAAAAGCAACAAGGAGCATTTTAGATGTCTAGATCGATAAATGATTTAGCACTTACATCGGGCTGCTGTCTTTGGTTAGTCACTTGATGGTGCTGTTCCAGCATGACTTGGGTTCTACCTGGTGTTCCTCTCATCCAGTCATTAGGCCCAGAGTAATCGTCACTAGGCTCTTCGACAAATTCTTTCTTGACAACTACAACGGGTGGGCGAACTTCATCAATAGCCGGCCTTGCTGCCATGGCAGCAGTCATACGACCACTGATGCGAGAGCGAATGGTCAATACTAGACGACGAGGAATGGACATAATGATGACTACATCGTCCAAACTCACGTGTCGGACATCCACCAAATTAACGGCCAATATTTCGTCCTCCACCTTTATATCCAAAAAAATGCATTTCATTATAGTATAAAAGGAGCGGAAATATGAAAGTGAAGCTTTGTATCATTTTTATAAAATATATTTAAACAATGCATAAAAAGAGCACGTTCTTCTAGCCTAATATGCCTGTGCAAGTAGAAGCCGAGGGTGAATTTTGAAAGGTGCGACAAAAAGTGGTTTAAGTGTATGTGTGTTTCATCCAACAAATACTGTGCTTTTTATAATATTGAACAGCCGATTAAACTTCTTTTCTGCGTAGTTACTATGTGTATGTGAAACGTACAGCTAATTATTCTCAAAAAATAATTTTTTTTGTAACAGCACAATGCAAAAATAATGAATTTTCAATTTATAACATGAGATTCTGCTAATTATACTGTATTAAAATAGTATTTAAATTGTATGGTTTGATAGAGGAAATAAAATTTATGAAAAATGCACTAATTAGCTATCAACAGTTTGAAAACATTATAAACCTGATGTATTAAAAACATAAATTAATATGCACTTAAACGCAGAAAATGATTAGTCTTCATTCAGCTTTACCTGAACAAATATTTAAAAGTAAATTTACCTAAACATAATGATTAAAGGTTTTTTATTTGTTTATATAACGAAAAATTATGTATTAAATAGTAATTAAAAGCTACTTTGGGGATCTGCTGGAGAACTGCAATTAGTGATAAGTGCCTGTTTTGTAGTATCGATTTACCTTTTTTTGCTTCCTTAATATGATGACTCGGAACTTTTAAAAAGCACATTAAATTAGTATTAAGATTTAAAACACAGTTTTTATTCATACATACATCATATTCAAAATTTTCGTATTTAATAGCTATCGATCAGTTTAATTTTTGATTTTATTAGAATTTGTAATTTTATTGAGTCTGTTTGTTTAAATTCATTATTTTAATGCAGTTATAATTTGTCTAGAAATTTTTTCCAGTAAAAATATTCTATCCAAAATAACATATATTTCGTAATTTAATATTTTATTGCACTTTAATATCTTGTACTGAATTTTTCGTTTTATGTTAACACTTATTTTCTGAAAAACTCCTCATTGAGTATATTTTGTAATTCACTTTAAGAGGTAAATATATTTGTATTTTAAATTTATTCCTTTGTAATGCATCACTTCCATTAAATTTAATATAAATGCATATTTCGAACAGCAATTCTGATAATTGTGATGACTATTCTAAAAAAAAAAGTAATTGTTTATAAGTATAATGGATATTCAAATGGACTTACGTGTTAGTTTCATGATAAAAGAAAACCCATAAAAATATCGAAGTATATACTACATTAAGCATTGAAATATGTTAAGGGGGCTCATACACCTTAAACCCCTTATGATTTTCGAATATGTGACTGTTGCAAGAATTCGTATATTTTATTTATTTTAAAAGCAATTACTTCCAACTTTTTACAGCTGACTACATAATATAGCTGCTTTAGGAACTACTAACCAGAAAGTTTGTGTTGCCACAAATATTTTTGTAATTTAATCCGCTTTGTGACAAAATATTTCGTCAAGTTTCCACCTTGCGCGCATGATATTTTAAAAATGGCCAATGGTACATACTTCAAATTTGATAGAATTCTTTATATGGGCACTATCTTCTAACTGAACCAAAAATATGACGAATATTTTAATATTAAAAAATTTTATGCACGAAAACATTACAGATTTTTTTAATAAAATGCATTTTATAAACTCAACTCCAAATAAAATAAAAAAATTAACACGAAATTCTTAGAATTTTTTGTTCACAGTAGTTTCCAAATGTTACAAAAGCTACATATTAAATATGGAATTAAAGTATGCAACAGAATGTTTTAAACTGTGCGCGCAAGGTGGAACATAACGAAATATTTTGTAACAAAGCAGATTAAATTATAAAAATATTTGTGGTAACACAAACTTTCTGATTACTATTTCAGATAGCAGCTATAATATGTAGTCAGCTGTAAAGAGTTGGAAGTCATTGCTTTTTAAATTAAAAAGTTATCTCAATTCTTGCAACAGTCACATAGTCGAAGATCTTATGGGTTTAAAGGTGTAAAATATACTGCCTTTAGAGTTCTGAATGTTTGTAAGTGACAGTGTTTCATTACTAGAAATTTTACATGCGATAAAAATTTGCAAAATTTGCATAAATATTAAAACATTTTTGACAATATCCGCATACATGAAATATACGAACCCTGAAAAAATGATTTATTTGTTTTAAGTGCATATAGTTACACTTGAGAAATAGAAATTTTATTAATAACTTGCTATAAGCATCATTTGTATAAAAACGTATGCTGCTTCTGTTTAACAATTATTTGCTATCAGTATTTATTTCAAAATATGCAGGTAATTTTTATAAGCTTTATTCAAAAATCTTTATAAACATGCAGCCATTATTTTAGAAGAATATGTAGAGGCCTGTTTAGTAATGGTTATGTTTAGTAGAATAAGTGATATGTAGAGGTAAAAGGTTTTTAAACCATATGTACAAGGTGTGACAAATTAATTCTTTCAGGTTCTGCTTTCAGGATTGAAAAAAAAAAAAAAAAAAAAAAAAAAAAAAAAAAAAAAAACCGTATGAATCTTACATAGTTAAGTCGGAGATGTAGGCAGAATAATATTATTTTCATCAAATAGCAGTTAATTTTTGAGAAGAAAGTCTTTCCAGCGAATGCACCATAACTGTGCGTGCGTGGTACGACATTCTGAAAATTCCTTTTCCTTCTCATTTGTTCAGTTAAATTTAGCCTAGTTTTTTTCGTTTAATCTGTTCAGGTATCAGTTTCACATCAAATCGTTGTCGGTCAGTGTCATGTTTCGCTTTCTGGGAATATTGTCATTATTCGTCTTAAATGGTAGCTTTTGAATTATCCGACACACCTCTCCCATCGTGAATCTCGTACGCCCCATTTAACTTTCTTTAGCATCTTTACCATATACCGCTTTCATTTCTAACAACTCGCTTTTGCCGATTTTTTTACAAAACCTGATGTTAATTTGTTGCTCAAAATTTTGATATTACACCTTTGAACCAAAATGCATATGCATTTAACAATTAGCTTCTCCATGCTAACTAAAACTGTCAAATGCCATTTTGAATTTTATGCGTATACTAGGAGACGTGTTCTAATGAGATCACTCGCTCAATTTGGATATTGTTACGTCATGTGCAACACTACATGGCCATTCCGTGATTGTTATCAAATTGTCACATGTACTCTTTTAAATTAATTGATCTTTATTTTGCAATTTCCTTTGTCTGCACGAGGAGAAAATTTAAGCTTATTTATTTCCATCTGTTTATGATTGTATAATGAAACATTTACTTCTAAATAATTTCAATGAAATTGTGTTCAAAATGTCTTGATAGTAGCTTTGGTGTTAATTCGTAACTGCCATAATTATGTCTTACATGCAAAACACTTTGCGATCGTTTACATGTCAGGAAAGTCAGGAAATAATTTAAATAAAATTGTTACTCACTTAACTGATTTATTTTCTAATTTTATACATTATCAGAAACCGGGAAGGAAATAATTTGTGAACATTTTTTTTCGATTTAAGTTTTACATTCGAAAATTTATAATAATGCTTTTCGAGGAAAAATTAAAATTTTCTGCATACTATAATCTTTTTCTCATAAAATATTAAACTTTTAGTAAATATTACATTTTAAAGGAAAGAATAATTTTGTCATCATTAACAGTTTTAAGTTTTTAATATTATTCTTTTTGTACAGATAAATTATTATACATATTTTCTGAAAATTACGGTGATTAATGATTTATACTTAACTTTTTTATTAACATTCTAACCGTCATAAATTATCCTGCAAAAAGTTTTAAGTTAAATTTGGTGTTTTTTCCAAATCTGTAAACGATTTAAGAGTAAACGTTAAGATTATTTTTAATTTATAAAACTGCATTTTCACTTTTTATCAATTATGTCGAAGATATGCAATTTAAAATAGATTTTAACAAATATCATTTAATACAACGCAAGCGTAGAAATTAAGTGAAATAATTTTAGATGTTTCATATACAACTCACTAAGGTAACACGCAGTTGAAAATTAGTTGAAGAAAAGTAGCTCAATGTATAGTTCAGAAAAAATTAAGTTACACATTTTATAAGCAAATACAATTTAATAATATGAACAAAATCCTGTTTTAATGTGATTAATCTTCAGAAAGAATAGTTTATTCGATAAATTACTCACTGATCATCAAAAATATGAATTGATTGTATCGCCAGTTTTCGTCATTGTTTATCTACAGTTAATCAAATTTGCATACAAGAAGTAATTTTAAAGTAAGCAATAAGCAGAAGTAGGAGAAAACACATATGTTAGATAAGTTATTTCTTTGCTGTTTTTGTTATCATTTCATTTTATTAATAGCACTTTATTTTTTCAGAAATACTAACCTTGAGGAGCCCACTACTGTACACTGCGCTTTCCAGTGCAATTCTTGAGATGAAAACGCCATCGCTCTGTGTGAGTAGGTCGCCCTCACGGATATACAGACCCAGTGTCTGTCCTGGTCGCTTCACAATTTCGACGAACTGCACCACGTGGCTTGCATCGGCCAATCTGAGGTAGCGGCGACAGGCTTCGGCGCCGACACGGCCGAGAGAAACCGGGTCGAGCAGGCGAATAATCATCTCGCCCCGTTTCTCGACGGCCTCTGCGGCCCGCGGGTCGAAGTCTTTCTCCACAGCCTCTATCTGACGAAATATCTCTGTGGAAATACCGCTCACTTTGCGGAAGTCACTTTGCACCACCATCTCTGGCATCATTCGGGCGCCCGCCCCTCTCAGCAGGGGGCGTGAAGGGGCGCCCATAAGGCGGCGATTCGGCGCCGCCTCCTCACACATTGCCTGCGACTCCACTTCCCTCGTCTCCTGCACATACACAACATAACAACAGATTATGAATATATTGGAAGCTCGAAGAAAAATATTCATACATTGAAAAGTACAAACTCATAGAAAGGTTTCATAAATTTCCTAATTCTTAATGCAAGTCTTCACCAAATATCATATTTTGCTACATTTTATACTATTACAAGACACATAACACATAATTTATTGACAACTGCATTTAAAATATTGAAAGAGTAAAGAAAAGCAGGTCTTAACATATAGCTGGAGACTGAAAATACAATTCTTTGAGCTCAAAATTGGATGCTTAATTTAGTAAACTGGAAACAATTGTTTCTTAAAATTTATCATAAAATGTAAGGTAAGCTAATTTTGATCACTACTTATAAATGTATAGGTATCTGATTTTTTAATAATGAAAGTAGTAATTTATGTATGATTGCACAGGTACTTTTAAAAATGTTTAGGTAGGGGGGAACAGAATACGCTTCAGAAAAACCTTTCGAACTAGCGCTAAACTCTAAAGCTCATATAAGATAAGTTTTCATAAGCCTAGATAAAGGTACTTTAACAGTATTGTGCTTAGTACACTTAAAATGCAAATTAAAGTTGTTACGATAATAATATAATAACAGTACATTAATATGAAAAGAAATAGGCACTTATGTAAGAAGATCGTTTTTAGATCCTCAAAGAAAGGCATAACTTAAAATTACTAGCATTATAGAGCATATTGAAGAAATACAGTATTTACTGGAAAATAATCCCCCTTTTTTAAACATATTTCTGCTTTGAAATTTGGTCGGTTTTATAATCAGGTGAAAAAATTAAATTGCATAATGAGAGGAAGAAGTTAATTATTATACAATATAAGAAAATTAACCTTTTCAAATATTAAATAAATCATATAAATATACGGTACAGGTAATTACCGTATATTTAAGCTGCATAACTACCGTTAATTATAACAACCAAATCTAGTTGAGAGATTTCAAATTAGCTCTGTATCCGTTACACTTATTATGGGTATTCTTGAAAACAAAAAGATAATAATGTATCATTAATTTTTCCTAATTTTTCTTTCTATAGCCTGGTAAAATATTGCATTTAATTAGGTAGCTTGTTTTGTTTCTAATTAAAAGCAAGCGAATTCTAATTAGAATCAGTCTTTCATCAAATATTCACCTATATTATTTCATCTTAAAATTTATCATAAAATGTAAGGAAGTGTTATTTTCGATTAAACAGAATACCTCGAAGATACAGAAAAGATTAGTTAATTAAAATTAAAATGGAATATGCAACAAAAGAAATCATTAGTGTAGCTGTAAAACCAGAATAATGAAACCAGACTTGAATAGTGTCTTAAGATAATTTCTGTAATCTCACTCCAAAAACCTTTCCAACCACAGTAGTGTTAATTTGTATACAAATTATATCCAGTATCATCGTAGTACAGTTGAATACTTAGGAAGAAGCTCTGCATTAGATTGCAGCGCAGAAGCAAACATTTACTGCTTACTAAGAGCCATCCATTAAAGAGACGAAACTTCTGGTGTAAACTGATGATACCAAAATGATGTATTGTTAGAAGGAACTCTTGATCTAAACAATTTAATTCTAACAGTTAAACGTCGAGGTAGATTCGTGATGTTCGTGATGGAGTTTCGCGAGCAAAACTTAAACCAAGAAGCCTGCGTTTAGCAATGTTTGCACTGTTTATTTAGGTATACTGAAAAACAGAACCAAAAATATATATATAATATATATATATATATATGTAAGATAAAAAATATAAACTTCTAATATCTTCTATATATTTCTATATTGTAAGAAAAAAATATGAAGGCAAACTCTAAACTTAATAACTATAACTTCATTATTTTCTATTTCATTTGAGAACTTCCTCTATCTGTCCTAAAAATAGCGCTTAAGTCTAAACTGCGTCATTCAAATTAATCATGCGATCTTACTTAACCCATAATGCAGATCCCTCTCGACCAATCACCAAATTGTAAACCGAAACTTTTCTCTTTCGCGTGTTTCCATCTTGCATAGCGACGCAACCTTCAGCTTTGCTCGCTACTGTGCTAAGATGTGATTTCGCTGGCTTGCTTTCTATCCCAACAATATCGAAAATGTGTAAATCTTCTGTGGAAGGCACGACTAGAGAGAGTGCCAAGTGATTGTGGCCACAAATATCAATTGGAAATAAAAATGGAATTAAAACTGCCTCGACTGCCAAGTTCTTTAGATGTTACCAAGTTAGCATTACTAGCATACTACGCAATCAAAATTCTTCTTCAATATGGATCTAAGCACGCATCTACACTGCTCCGTCGTTTCCTGTGCTTTTAATATGACAATTATATAAATGTATTAAGCTGAATTCGGACAAAAGTTTTACTTCAGCAAAATAACGAACTGCTGTTCAACCATTGTAAGCAGAACCTAGGAACTACTGGACAGCCCCCAAATTCCCATGCCATTAAACATTTATGGTCTATACTTGAATATGATAAACAAAAATATAAAATGAAGGAAAAGTTAATTTGAAACTTATCGTGTGAAACGAATTCTAAAATATACTGTCAGATAATTTTTTAGATTTAGTAGAATTGTGCTATTTTATTTGAGTTTAACTAACAAGTGACAGGCGACGGAGGACGGGGGCTCGGGTGCCATGGGGTGCGTGACCATTGGCTTGATAGGGCATTCATACTGTACTGGGCTTAATGTTACACTATAGAAATTGGCATCCCATCTTAGCTGTATGATCTTGGTGTAGACGGCGTTTTGTTCTGTTCGAAAATGGAGGGGAATCAGTCCTGCTAGGACAATGACGCTTTCTTGGCTGTTGTCCTGCATGCCTTGCACAGGCGACTTTAGCTAACGCTAAAATTTTGATTTGTATCTTTCCTTTGTATCTTATTTCGTCACATACTCGATCAGTCCAGAGAATTACTCAGTTTTCATTGGCGGTTTAGTATAAATTAAGGGGAAGAATTCGTAATCGTGCAAGTTGTAACAGTTACACATTTGGCTATGTAAACGACTGCCACGCTTGGCTTGTATTTCCAGAACGTTTTTGCCTAGCAAGTAAATTTGAATTAACTGTCAGAAATACCTATTGCTGTCCCAAATTAAATAAATTTTATTTTCCAAATTATACATTAAAATTTTTAAAAAATTCACCCCGACTGTGAATTTTTAATCAACACTTAAATCACAAATTATGATAATTTATTCCCGAATTTGGGGCTTTCCCAGTTTGGCTTCTTTCCAATCTTATCCTTTCCTTCTTCTCAGAGTTTTTCCTTTCAAAATCTGCTGTGTACGTCCCTCTAAGCCCGGAATAAGGAGAGAAAAAACTCTACTCTTTAATATTCAGCAATCTGAATTTCATGTCTGATTCTAAAAGTCTATATTTTATCTGCTATGAACTAACCTGAGTTTTCATACTATATGTATTAATTTTTGTATTCTCTCCTTAGAGAGGGTACAAGCAGTGATAGCACTTGCCCGCTCTCTCCTAGAAATACTTCTAATTCCCAAATTTTAAATATTTTCCTTTTAGTTAGCAGAGTCGGCTATAGTCACGAACTGACTTAGTATTTTTTACCTGTCACAATTTAACTTTCTTATTAATTTTATTGTTGTAGCGTAATGTTAAATTTTGTTTACCAAACTCTTAAGACGTAATATGAGTACACAAGTTATTCGTCTTAACTTGAACTTTTAATTTTTCTACATTTATTTATTTATTTAATCTTTTAATATTTTAAGTACATAATATATAGAAATTTTATCGCTATAAAGCTAAAGTGAAACTTAAATTTGGGAATTAGAAGCACTTTTATAACTCAATACTAAAATCCAGTTATCTTATTTTAAGGAATGGAGGTTTTTTATGTGAAACTGTATCTAAGCATCCCACATTCATCAGCAAGTAGCTACTCTTATTCGCTTGTAGATAACCTGCCCATTTAAATCAAAGTTTTTACATTATATTATAATTTTGTTAGTTTCTGTATATTAATTATTACATTGCTTTACAAAACGAAAATCTGGTTAATACGGAAATAAGTATCAATTTTAATAGAATTTCATAACAATGTACCAAAATCATTTTATTTTCATACTGATTATAAACACATGATTTTGCGAGATTTTCAACTGGCTGTAAAATTCATGATGAATAAAGAACTTTACAAACTTATCTCTTAGAGACTTTCAAACTGAACTATAATTCCATTTGCAAATCATACAATATTTTGTTATTACATTCCTAAATTATATTTCTATATGTTTTTTCATATTCAAATATGAGAAAGTTCATTAAACATATGACAGGGCATAGTGAAGTGTAAACTCTATGTCTCTAAAGCATTTGCTTTCTCATTGCAATAGTAAATATTGTAAATATTCTATAAAATTTCTCTCTAAGTTTATTCTCTTTGAAGTGGAGGGTGTATATATATAAATTAAAGTATAAAACAAAATTATTAAACTGGATTGGAACCATTTGACAGGGGAGTTTTAAATTTATAATTTTCATTTAAATACATCCCATCTTCAAGGATACGTTTTGCACCATTTTGCGTCACTCTGCAGTAGGTTGTCACGCTTTCCCTGCGATTTCTCTGCATTGAGAAAAACCTTTGTCCAGTCGATGCTCAGAACTAAAGCAATAGAGCAGAGCTTTTAAATACTGCCAATTACATACTACGTCACACTTTCTGGCTTACCGCTATCAATAAATCCGTGTTCGCTGCTTTGCCGATGTTTCTATTGTTTAAGATATAATATGCGCATATGAAATAGTGCGGGTGCAGTTTGCACCAGTTATGCTGTACCAATCAAGGATATGCCGAAGCAATTAACATGTATCTAAAAGATGTTTGAGTGTATCCGAGAATAAATTATATGTTGAACTTCGTAGATCCTTCTACAACTTCATCATTTCATCTATTGCGTAGTAAGTTCAAGCTACTATATGTACGACTAAAAATGGT